TATTGCTCAATCAAGATAAAGTTTTCCCTGAAACAAAAGGGAATGAGAAGGATACATGGTATTTGGATAATGGTGAAAGCAATCACATGACAGGGGTGCGAGATTACTTTGCAGAACTTGATGAAACAGTAACAGGGCAGGTGCGGTTCGGAGACGGGTCCAAAGTTCAGATCAAAGGAAGAGGTACATTTCTCTTAAGAGTGTAAAAATGGAGAACAACAAGTCATCTCAGAAGTATATTACATCCCAGCTTTGCAAAGTAATATACTTAGCCAAGGACAAATGACAGAGGTAGGATACAAGATTGATATGTTGCATGAGTGCCTAAGGGTTCATGATGCATGTAACCGGTTGTTCAAAAAACAGGTTGTACAAGATTGTTCTTCAAACTTCACAACCACTGTGTCTCAGCATGAGTATAGATGACATTGCTTGGATTTGGCAAACAAGACTAGGGCATGTAAACTTTTGTGTGATCAAAACAATGGTGGAGAAGGAATTGGTACACGGAGTGCCAAAGATACACCATTGACCATCCCACACAGGTGTGTGAGGGATGCCTAGTTGCTAAGCAACGTTGACAACCGTTCCCAAAAAAATCACAATGACGTGCAAACACTCCATTGGAATTGGTTTGTGCTGATCTATGTGGTCCTATATCCCCCCAAAATCAATATTTCCTTCTCATGGTAGATGACTAGAGCAGGTTCATGTGGGTATCGATGATCAGAATTAAGAGTGAAGCATTCACTGCTCTTAAGAACTTTAAGAATCAAGTAGAAAGTGAAGGGAAATTCAAATTAAAGATGTTGCGCACAGATTGAGGAGGTGAATTCACGTCCAATGAATGCATTGAGTTTTGCAATCAGGAAGGAATTAAGAGGCAGTTGACAGCACCCTACTCCCCACAACAGAATGGGGTGGTAGAACGCCGAAATCGTATAATCCTGGAAGTCACCAGATCATTGCTGAAAGCCATGGATGTCCCGGAAACATCATGGGGGAAGAAACCAACGCTTGAACACTTTAGAGTGTTTGGCTACGTCGCTCACGCAAAGGTTCCGTCAAACAAGATCACAAAATTGAGTGATAGAAGTGAGAAACTGGTTTATTTGGGAAACGAGGAACGAAGCAAGGCATTTTGTTTATATTTCCCTAAAAGAAACAGAATATGTGTAACAAGAGATGTCATATTCGAAGAGAAGAGAAAATGGGATTAGGTTAAGGTCCAAGATGAAGGCCTAATTTTAAGCAACAATTGGGTTAGATTTCCTAGTGAAGGATTAGCCCAAGAGAGTGTGGAGGAAATTGATCTAGCACAAATAGTAATTGGAAGCCCTACTATGCAATCAGTTGGAGGTTGTTCACCAACACCTCCTGATCAAACGCCAATACTCAATACTACAAGTGAATCTCCATTTACTTTCTCCGATACCCAAACACCTCCTGATCAAATGCCAATACTCAATATCCGTCAGTTTACTTTCTATTAAGCAGGTCACATCTCAATTGAATTGTAAAGTGACATTTTATCTAACCTATTGTCATTTTCAGGATCTAAAAACGGGAAGATGATTGGACATGCTAAGAAGGAGGATGGGGTTTATTTCCCGGGCACAAGTAGTGGTGGCCTTAGAAGTAGTTTCCTTTCTAAAGCTTATTTGTCTTTAACTCATTTTGCCAATAAGGCTCAAATTTGGCTTCATCATGTTAAGATGGGTCATCCATCTTTTGCATTAATAAAAACAATGTTTCCTTTCTTATTTAAAAATATGAATGTCAATGAATTCAATTGTGAAGTGTGTCAAATGGCCAAACACCATAGAGTCTCCTTTCCAATCAGCACTTCAAGATCTTCTAAGCCATTTTCCCTAGTTCATTCAGATGTTTGGGGACCCTCGAAGATCCCTAATATCAATGGAACCCGATGGTTTGTGTCATTTATCGACGATTATTCGAGAATTACTTGGATGTGCCTGATTAAAAATAAATCTGATGTTAGTATTATTTTCCCCCAATTTCATTAGATGATTCTCACTTAGTTTGGAGTATGCATTAAATATATTCGATCCGACAACGGTACCAAATATTTTAATCAAATTATGTCCCCATTCCGAACTACAAAGGGCATCATTCATGAATCCTCTTGTATTGCAACCCCGCAACAAAATGGGATTGCAGAGAGAAAAAAACGTCATCTTTTAGAAATAACTTGGGCCCTTTTATTCGAAAAAATGTTTCCTAAATTTTATCGAGAAGCAGTTTGCACAACTACGTATTTGATCAATCAATTACCCAGCAGAGTCCTTCAAGGTCGATTCCTTATTGATGTTCTTTCTGAACATTTTCCAGACCCTAAACACTCATCCCTTCCATTAAAGACGATCGGGTGTGTTTCTTATGTTCACATTCAACAAAAAGATCGATCCGAGAGCCTTAAAAACCATTTTTCTTGGATATTCTTCTACACAAAAGGGGTACAAGTGTTATCATCCAAGTTCTCGAAAAACCTATGTCTCCAAAGATGTCACGTTTCTTGAAAACCAAGGATTCTATGATAAAGTTTGTTTTCCAAGAGAGTCTAGCATAGATTTCAACGTTATAGAATTTCTTTCTTTTGATTTATCTACTCCAAATCCACCTCAAGTCCACCTGATCATTATCCCATCAAATCAACCGAAACTGATTATGAACAAGAAAAAACAGCCCAAGATGAGTCTATTTCAACTCCACCTCTTACATAAAATGATTGTTCTGAACCACCACTATAAGTGTACTCGCAAAGAAGACGAAATCCTGACAAGTTCACACTTAAAAGACAGGTAAAAAACTGATTCCTTACCACCTGAATATCACTTCCAATTGTATTCAGAAAAGGGACTAGAAAGTGCACAGAACATCCGATAGACAATTTTCTCTCGTATTCAAACATGTCCGCATCACATAAAGCCTTCCTTACCACCTGAATATCACCTTCCAATTGCATTCAGAAAAGGGACTAGAAAGTGCACAGAACATCCGATAGACAATTTTCTTTCGTATTCAAATCATCTTTGCTAAAGGCCAACTTGTCGAGTTTAGGGAAGGAAACTCGATGTGTTGGAAGTCTTGGGCACGCGCATTTTTGAGAATCAACTCGACAAGTTGGACGCTATTTGAGAAACCCTACTTTCAAGGTTTTTCACCTTATTTAAACACCTTAAGTTTCAAATTTTGCCTTTTTAGTGTTCACACATGGATTTCTTTTAGAAATCATATTTTTTGTATAGTTGTGAAAAATAAAGAATACTTACATTAGTTTCATTTTGTCAAGTAATTTCATTTAAATGATTAATTTATTTTCGAAAGACACTGCATAGTTTTTCTTCCAATGAGCACCAATGTTGGAATTGTCGATGGTCTTTGGATGAACACCAATTTTTGGAATAGTCTTTCGATATAGGCTTCGTTTGTTTAAATCATTGATATGCAACATTCATGAAACATCAATAGCAAACATATTAAGAAAGCTAACAAATAAACAACAATCCAAATCCATCCGTACACTGTCTTACCACTCTAGTAATGTACATGTGCGATGCGGCAGCCATTTATAATATATTTTCGGCGATTAATTTTCATGCATCAAGTAGATTTTTTTAAGGCATATATTGAGTTAGAAATAAAAGTACCTTGTTGTATGGGTTAAATTAATACTTTTTGGGGTTTTTGGTAAATGAGAATTTGTTATGTTTTAAGCAAAAAAACACTTTTACCATTGTATTTTGTGTTTTTTTGTGATCAAAATCTAAATAAAAAAAATGATTTTTATAATCATATAATTTGGTTTTTTGGTGTTTTGAAAAAAAAATTTCTTGATTTAAAAAAAAATGAATAACACAGACCATTTGTTATTTGTATATATTTTTTCATGGCATGGTTTGTGGGTTAAAAGATATGTTTTTTTCAACCTCTTGGAAATATACCATTTTGTTTAGGGTGATCATAATAACTAGAAAATTCAAACCAAAACAAATTTAATGGTTACAATCGGCTCATTATAACCAAACCATCTTTTAAACCGACAGTTTTGTTGTGCTTTTTATTAATTGATATGTAGCAGTTTGGTTACGGTTTTATTAGGAATCCAAACCATTATAAACCGAACCAATAAAATTGACAAGTAACGTACAACTACATACAAACCATTATAAACCGAATCAATAAAATTCCTTATATATAAAAAGTTATGAAGGTCTGGTCCGATTAAAAATTTACATATAATTCACCGGTGTCGACTGGAATTGACATTTGACACATTGCCGGCACATTGTAGATCAATTTACTTTTAAGTATATTTCTTCAAAGTTTCATGAGTTGTTTTAAATTGTTCATATAATTCACAATTAGTATTTGCCACTTTTTCTTATTCATTTAATGAGAGGAAATAAGAAGGAATTATTTAAGAATTGTTCCTTATTCATGATTCAAGAATATTTACTCTTTAATTTAAGATTAAGGGTAAGTGGTTGCTTCAGTCTTATTCGATAAGATGGAAGTACATTTTGCATTTATTCTGAACTTTTATGTTATTTTTCAAATGGTTAATATCACAAAAGTCCTATGTTTTTTGCACTAAATTGAAAAAAGCCATGAATTTAATTTTTCATTTACTGTGACCACGACATTTTCTTTGAGTTATCGTTTGAGGGCAAAGAGCCGATCACCAGTAGGTAACCTGTACCATCCAATCACCACTAAGCTATTCCGTAGCCATCACCTTTCACGAACCATCACTACTAAAGGGTTTTCATGCATTCGAGAAGGTTTTGATGCTAAGAAGAATTTCACAGTCCCCAATTTCGCAACTTGAAGCTTCGAAATCGTTGGTGAAGTAAGGTTGGAGTAGAAAGGTACGTGTATGGAAACAAGAAATTGATGATTATGAGGGTGGTTATCTTCGTCTATGGAGTTCCAAGTTTGAACTAACAAGTTGTGTTTTTGTTTTTTTTATGAAACAGATGGCTTCTACTTCTGGAACTAAGAAGCCTAAAGGGCCTAAGCTCCCTGAGAAGACATATCTTCCAGACTCTGACTCCGATGAAGATGCATTTGACTTTAGTTTCTTGGATTTTTCTGAAGAAACTTTCAAAGCCCCCTCAAGACTATGTGATGATCAGTTGCTTAACTTATTGTGTGATAAAAACGTATTAAGGAGGAGTATTGATGGAATGGTAGATGATGGAGACATGTCTGGTGTCCAACAAAAAGAGCATGCCCACTTAGATGAGGACAATGAAGATGTTGGTGTGGAGTATATGGTGCATGATCCCAATGTTGACTGGAAAGAGATGAGGCCCCGATTAGGAGACTGTTATGAATCCCCTGCTCAACTCAGGTTTGCTTTAACTAACTATGCAGTCCATGGAGGGTACCAGCTTTATTTTGAAAAAAGTGATAGAGTGAGGGTTATAGCTAAGTGTGGTAGTGGAACAGGGACAACAATGATAATAACAAAATGCAGTGTCCATTTAGGGTTGCAGCTGGATGGAAGTACAATGAAAGAACATTCCAGATAAAATTTTGTAATGAAATGCATCTGTGTGCTAGGAATTATCAGTTTGGTTCCTTAGTTACTAGCAGTTGGTTAGCCAAACACTACCTGAAAGATGTAATCATGAAGCCCAAGATGACATTGCTAGAGATGCAAGCAGATGTGCTACAAAGGTTTTCAGTGAGTGTATCTCTTGGGCAATGCCAAAGAGCAAGGGCTACTGCAACGGGGATGATAAAAGGGAAGTTAGAAGATCACTATGCCAAGGTTTGTGACTATGCAACTGCAATTAGGTTGAGTAATCTGGGTACAACTTGCTTGGTGGGGGTAGAAAGTAATATGGAGTTTAACTATTTCAAAAGGTTTTATGTTGGCTTCAAGGCTTTTAGAGATGGATGGAGCAGAGGATGTAGAAGGGTAATAGGACTAGATGGTAGTTTCTGGAAGGGGCAGGTTAAGGGGGAGATTTTAACTGCTATTGGGAGGGATGCAAACAACCATGTCTACCTAATAGCATGGGCAATTGTGAATGTTGAGAATAGGGACAATTGGACCTGGTTCATTGATAATTTGGTTGCTGATTTGGATCTTAGTGCTGGTAATGGATTGGTTGTTATCTAAGACCAACACAAGGTACCACAACATACACTAGTATACAATATATATATATATATATATATATATATATATATATTTGTATGTTAGAGTCATTAATATTTACATGTGTTGTGTTGTGTTTGTTTGTTAATTATATGGACTTTTACAAGCTGTGGCAGACCTACTCCCAAATGTTGAGCACAGACAATGTGCTAGACACAACTTTGCAAACTTTAGAAAGAAATTCATAGGATTAGAGCTAAAGAGTTTGTTCTAGGAAGCTGCTATGAGTACATTGGAAGGAGAATTTCTTGCTACAATGGAGAAAATAAAGAAGATAACAGAAACAGGATACAATTATCTTATGGCAAGGAAACCTGAAACTTGGTGCAGACCCTTCTTTTCTCATGGGTATGCTTGTGAAGCAGTAAGGAATGGGGTTGCAGAATGCTTCAATGCCATGATCAAACAAATAAGGAAGAAACCTATAATCACAATGCTTGAGGAAATAAGGATTCTCCTTATGAAAAGGTTTTTTTCATCAAGGTCAAGAGGCCACCAAATGGAAGGGTAATTATGGGCCTAACATACAACTGAAGCTTAATGAATTTAGGAAAGATATGAGGTAATATAAGTTTTTATTGGCATGTATCCAAAAATATTAAGAATGTATTTATATGTGTACTTTGTTTGTTTTGTGTGTAGGTTGTGGACAGTGGTGCCAAGTGGTGGTGATGTGTTTGAGACTAGGTATGGCTACAATGGATACAAGGTTGATTGAGCCAATCACACTTGCACCTGCAACTTGTGGATGTTGTGGGGCATACCATGTGTGCATAGTTAAGCTGCAATCTACTATGTCCACAAAGATCCAAGTGAATTCATTTCTTCTTGGTTCCACACGGACAAATATGTTGCAACCTACAGTCAGAACATACAACCTATTGGTGGAAGAAACTTGTGGCCAATGACTGAGTTTATTAAACCATTACCACCCCTATTTAGAAGGATGCCTGGAAGACACAAAGTAATAGAGTGAAGCATGCATCTGAATCAAAAGATGCCAAATACCCATATCAAAGGTTAAAGGTTACTAGGATTGTGAGGTGTGGAAAGTGCCAACAACTTGGGCATAATAAGATTTCAGGCACAAATGATGAGGTACCTAAGCCACGTGTCCCAAAAAGGAAGATTGGAAGACCTAGGAAAGATGGGGGAGGCCAACCTATCTTTGATCAATTCCCTCCAGTTGAGCCTGCTATACCAAGAAGTGATGCTGCTCCTCCTATAGTTTCAGAATATGGTGATCAAGTTAGTGGGACTGATGTACCAAGAAGTGATGTTACTCCTCCCCCAGTTTCAAAATCTGGTAATCAAGTAAGTGGTCCTAATATTAGTCATTTGAAAAGGACTAAGATGATGGCAAGGAGAGGAGGGAAAACTAAAGTGTCTGGATCAAGGAACAAAACACCAAAGAAAACACCTAATGGTAAGAAACATAAGAGTAATGCAAAGGAGGATGTGTCCCTAACCTGTGATGAGGATTTTGTTGATCTTTTTACCCATGCACCTAATGGTAAGCAAGGTATGAGTCAAGAAATAGAGGATGTTCAGGAACAAGAACATGATGACAATGAGGTGAAGGTGAGTGAAAGACTTACTTTACAGGAGTTGTTGATGTCTGGATATACACATGTTGAAGCAGTGGCTACTATGAAAGAGGTATGTTCTAGTAATCACTATTTTTGGCTTTCATATTGTAGATTTACTAACTACCCCTCCATATTGTAGGTTTATGGAGAGGTTGAGGAACAACAGATTGAAGAAAAAGAGGCTGAGGAAGGAGTTGAAGATAGAGAGGTTGAAGAAGAAGAAGTTGAAGGCATACAGGTTGAGCAAGAAGAAGTTGAAGGCATAGTGGTTGAGGAATAAGGAGTTGAAGAGAGAGAGAGAGAGAGAGAGAGAGAGAGAGAGAGAGGTTGGGGCAACAGTCCTACCCTCCAGAAGAAGTTATGGTGCTTACAATTTCCATTGGGAGAAAAAGAGGAAACCCTCTGAAAGAATTAGGAAGTTGAAGCTCAGGAAAATGGTTGAAGATGTTGATGGTGGTGGTTCCTCCAAAATCCCTTGGGTTTTAAAGTAAGGAATTGTGTTTAAGGGTTCAATGGGTAGAATGGGCATTAGTAAATAGGTTGCCCTTTTGGTAAACATCTACTTTTTGTGTTTAAGGGTTCAATGGGTAGAATGGGCATTAGTAAATAGGTTGCCCTTTTTTGTAAACATCTACTTTTTGTACACTTGTCTTTTGGTAACAAGCGTCCAATTCATATCCATAATGTTTGGTAGAATTGGAAGTTTGCTTCTAATTAGGTTAAATGGTATGATAGTAGGAAGCATTGTAAAGTACATTCCCATTTTTGGGCTGTTAACTAACATTGATATTTGGTATGATTGTTAAGTTTATATATATATATATATATATATATATATATATATATATATATATATATATATATATATATATAGGTTCAGGTTCATTTGAGACCATTCTAATTTTGTGAGACCGTGAGACCAAATCTAAAAATAATTTTAAAATGCAAAATAAATGGAAAAATCCAAAAATTCTTTTTTTAAATATTATTTTCGGAATTTGAATTAACTAAAAAAATAAAAAATAAAAATAAAATTCCGTTTTTTTTTTAAAAATACATGAAATATTCTAAATAGAATATCACACTGATATATTCTAAAAAATAATTTTAAAATGCAAAATAAATGGAAAAATCAAAAAATTCTTTTTTTAAATATTACTTTCGGAACTTGAATTAACTAAAAAAAATAAAAATAAATAAAAAAAAAAATTTTTAAAAAATCTATTTTTTTTTTAATACGTGAAATATTCTAAATAGAATATTACACTGTACATATTCTAAAAATAATTTTAAAATGCAAAATAAATGGAAAAATCAAAAAATTCTTTTTTTAAATATTATTTTCAGAACTTGAATTAACTAAAAAAAATTAAAAAATACGTCTCACGGTCTCACAAAATTAGGCCGTCTCACATGAACCTAACCCTATATATATATATATATATATATATATATATATATATATATATATATATATATATATATATATATATATATATATATATATATATATCGAGAATGTCGCAGGTTCATCACAATCGCATCTCAAATCTTCAGACCAACGATTCCTTAAAGCCCACTCTTTGTAACCTTGTGTGTGCGTGTTGGAGGAGCTTACCATCTTTTTGGTTTGAAGTTGGAGAGAAGAATCGACCCAAAACTACCTGCAACGTTCGACTAAGGGAGCAACCTGCTGAAACCGGCTCTTTGCATTCAAACGATAAGTCAATGAAATTACTGTGGTCACATTAAATGAAAAATTAAATTCAGGGATTTTTCCAATTTAGTGCCAAAAACATGGGACTTTTGTGATATTAACCCTTTTTCAAAGTTATCAACTATGAAGAATTTTCATATTTTTAGAAAACACCAGTTTCATTCATAGCAACATATTTGGTAAAGACTAAAGAGTTTCATTCATAGCAACATGTTTGGTAAAGATTAAAGAGCATCCAATATGCACCTGACGCAGTTGGATATTTGGATCAAAGGGGCACCTATAATATTAGGGACAAAAAATTAATCTGCAAATCAACTTCTAAGAGGCTATTGATCAGAAAACACACAAACCGGGGAAAAAAAGAACTTGTCACCTAAATTTTAAAATCTTAAACCTTGCTTTTTTCCCCTCACACTATGCAATAACTCATTCCAGTCCAATCCAATGTGCACAATATCAGACCCAATTGATTATGATATCCACACACATACATATCCAAACATACACTCACATACTTACAACACATTGACTTCACCTTTAAGTGTTATATTTTCATCTTTAGGAGGGGATTATCTCTCCGTCTTGCATGACTCAATCAACTCCAGAACTTGCCCAAACACCGCAAGCCTTAGTGTTAGCCATGATGTCTATAAAAGAAAGAAATAAATGTTACATTGTGACAACCCGAAATTTTCATTCGGTCAAACCCTAAAGTCAATCACTTCAATTTATAAGTCAAGTTCATTTTTATTTGTTTTTGGCAAATTTAAAGTTCGTTTGATTATTTTAATAATTATTCTTTAAACGAACGGGTGAAAGGAAGTACCATCTCGAGTCTTGAAATTTCAAAACCGCAACTACCATGTAGTTAAGAGATTCACAGCCAAAATTTTATATTTTGGCCATAAATCCCTCCAAAACCGTAAACTCATGCCTTAAGCATGAGTTTACTCCCCAAAATACTTCACTTCTTACTTGCAATCTCAAGAGCAAACTCCAAACACTCTCAACTACCATCCCGTCTTTCACCCGATTTCCCGAAAATGTAAGTACTTCTTGGATTGATTTGTTGTTATATCATAACAACTAGTGATCATACATCTTTTAATCCATCAAATTTCATGTTTTGATTAGATTTCAAAAACACCAAGAACACACGCTAGTGTCCTTGGACTTTTAGCTCATTTCAAGCTTCCATATAATAAGTACCTCTATCCTAGAGTCTTATAAAGCTTGTTATACATATTTACATCAATGAAATGTCCCAAGAACACCAAGGACAAGGTGTTCATGGTTTGGGACCCAAAACCATAAACACCAAGTAAAGGTGCCAAAGGGTGCCAAAGGGTGCCAAAGGGTGCCTTAGTCCATTCACAAGCCTTAGGGACATGTCTAAATCCTTCCTTGATGTGTATATCATATGAAAAACACAAAAATCCCTCATTTCTATGTGTTTACGTTTTGGGGAGCTCCAAAAACCGTAAACACCCCAAAACATGTATAAATGACCCATATTCCTTCCTATGCCTAAGTAACTAACATGGATCCATTCTTTGATGAGCCTAGGACTTGAAAACATGAAATTACCACTTTCCATATGGGTTTACGGTAGTAAACCCAAAAGGAAATGGTCTTGGGTCCGTAAACTCCTCAAAGGAGTGTAATGATGCCCTAATCTCTTACAAAGGCCTAACCATCAAGTGGAAATGCTTCAAAAGACTTATAAAACCTCAAAAAAACTTATGGTCAAAAAGTGATGAGTTTACTACCGTAAACTCGTTGGGTAATGGTCATGAAAACCGTAAACTCCAAAGAAGTTTACCCTTGAACCCCAAACACAATAGCAAGGTCCTTTAACACTTAGATGCAATCCTTATAACTTGTAGCACTTATATAAGGTGTTTTACATGCATTATGATGTCTGAGGATGTCTTAAAATTTTTAGTTAGTGGTTCAAAGTCTAATTGAATACATATATGTGTGATTATATGTTAACTAGGATCATTGAATGTGAACAAGTCTTCACTTGTCACCTAGCAATCCTACATCTTTCATTTCATCCAAACCACCATCCACAAGTGAGTTCATACCCCTTAATCAATGTTTTAAATGATTTTAAATGCTTTAATGGGGGGAATACAAGTAGAAAACATCATAATATAGAATCAATCATATGTTATTCATAACTGTGTTTTCATCCGACTGAGTTCACATGTTTCAAAATGTGACGTATGAAATGGTTTTCTATCTTAAAAATACTTTGTTATCAAATACATTACTTTTGAAATGTTTATTAAAATGACATCAAGTCATTGTTATTTATTGTTCAAAACTCTTAAATGTCTTACAAAACCATTTTCGTATTCTTGATCAAAACTATATCTATACACTCTTGTGTAGCAAGGGTGTATAAACCTTCTTGGACATCAATTACCTTCCTGAAAACTATTATAGGGATGGTGGTGGTGTATAGGAGAAGGGGATACAAATGCGGTGTGACATCCCCAAAATCACGGCCAGAAAAGACCGATTTTCATTTATGCTTTTAAAATAATTTCAGAGTAAATCCTTTTGATTTGAAAGAGTTGCGGAATTTGTTCCCAAAAACAAAACATGATAAAACAATGTTTACCAAAGCATTTCATAAAACAAATGTATTTTTCATTATATAATCAAAACTCTGGGTGTCATGTTCCGATACAGACCAATAAGCATAAACGATAACATTACAAGTCATTCAACAAATATATACATATACAGACTTGTAAACAAAACAACTTGATGGTTCATCCATCTTACGCCCTTGCGCCACTTCCTGTAATACAAATAAAACTGAGTGGGTCAGGCTTGGGAGCCTGGTGAGCATATAGGGTTTTCAACCCACAATAAATAAATTATATTTAATTTCACCAACCAATCACTATCCCGATTACCCATTCCCATTATCCTCACTTTACGTCCCTAAAACAACATCTATCTCAAGGGACCTAATCTAGGATTTTCATCGGGACGGACATTACTGCTAAGGGGTTTCCTCAACAATAGATATCCTAAAGGCAACCATGAGGGGGATAGAGTACACCGTGAACACATCGTTCACAACACCTACAGGTTATGAACCTGCTAGCGTTCCACGAGACTGTCTAGAAGGAGTCTGTGGTCGTTATCCATACTCTGTTGAATAACTAGGTCAACAACAACACCATCGAGGCCTCTCATCTGTTTATTACACACCAACTATCTACCCATGTTCTACCCAACATATTAGTAGATAAAAATATATATTTTTATACATAGTTTAAAACATGTATAGCATTTTCATCCAATACATATTTCACATAACAGATGAGGCATACCCACATAACACGTATTTCATAGAAAACAATTCAGATCTATGAGATTGAAAAGAGTGAATATACATTCACGCACATAACAATAAAATTATACACATAACACGTATTTCGTATAAAATACTTCATAATTATGCGTTAGAAGAAATTAACTACACACTCACTTGATCAGAAGATGATCGGACAGCACTACGACTTGCAAAAGCAGTA